TCGGGGGACATACCTGGGTTTCGGGTTTGATCCCCAGTAGGGGGTGTGTAGGAGGCAGCTGATCAGTGATTCTCTCTCATCATTGATGTTTCTCCTTCTCCCTTCCAGTCTGAAATCAATACAAATATTTTTTTAAAAAAATGCCATCAGAGGCCAGAAGGGCCCTGTTTTGAGCCTCGTGTGGCTTTGCCCAGAAAAGGCAGTTCTGTTCCTTAGACACGGGGGTGCCTCGCCCCTGTTCCCACTTGGTGACAGACCATGGTTGACGCCATGACAGTTCTCCCTACAATCGGAAAAATACCCGAACCCCTTAAAACATTCAACGACGTTTCTGCCAAGAGTAAGTCTGTCAGATCATCTTGTCTTTCCCTTCCTCCTTGTCTCGGTCATGAGCTCAGCCCTCCAACCACACCATGTACCGGCTGGTTTCCTATATCAACCGGGTTCGCCTGGCCGGTGTGGCACAATGGATAGAGCATCAACCTGCAGACTGCACGGTCACGGGTCCCATTCTGGTCAAGGGCATGTACCTCGGTTGCAGGCTCGATCCCTGGCCCTGGCCAGAGCGCATGTGTCTCTCTCACATTGCTGTTTCTGTCTCTCTGTCTCTCCCCCTCTTTTCCACTCTAAAAATCAGTGGGGAAATATCCTCAGGTGAGGGGATTAACCACAACAAAAATACAAGCCAGGCTCACTCCCGCCCCCTGCCCATCCTCTGGGGGTGGGAGTGGAGCGCAGAGCCCAGGCAGGGCAGCATCTGGAATAACCAGTAACAGATGCCGGCTGAGTCATTGTCCTCGGGCCTGCCTGCGTCCGGGCAGAAAGCGTCTATTAGGAAGGCGGCTTCATCCGCCAGCACACACACTGCCCAGCCCCGTCACCAAGAGGCGGCTCCCCCAGACGATCATCGCCTGCCACGGTGCCCGGGGTTTCACGCTCAGTTTCCGAAACGGGCTGGCACTGTCAGCTGGTCATGGGCTGGGAGAAGGTGGGCCGGGATGCTGGCTCTGTGGTTTTCCATGATCTCGAAGGTTTCTCCTTGGGGGACTGGGCACGCAAACTGTTTGGGAAAACAAATTCATCCCCAAACATCTGTTTGTGTGTGTTTGTGTGTGATTTGATATATTTTTATTGATTTCAGAGAGGAGAGGAGAGGGAGAGGGATGGAAACAGTGACGAGAATCATTGTTCAGCTGCCTCCTGCACACCCCGTACTGGGGATGCTGGGGACCGAGCCGGCAACCAGGGCCTGTGCCCCAACCAGGAATTGAACTGTGACCTCCTGGTTCACAGGTCGATGCTCTACCACCTAGCCATGCGGGCCGGGCCATTCCCCAGACGCCTGTACTAACAGCCTACGTGACATGTGGCTGACATTCGGCTGTGTCGTTGGCACGTTGGGATGGGCAGTGGAGAGAGAAGAGGAGCCATGCCCTGATCTTCAACTAGAAGATAACAGTCCTGGGATAGCCATTCACGAGCCCCAGGGACGTGAACGTGACCTGTGGGTGAACACGTCACATACAGCACACGCAGGGCCAGTGGACGTAGAGTCCAAGGGGTTCACTGGCCCGAGGGAGGGGCTTCCCCAGGCCTCCCCTTGCTCATATGACACCCAAAAGGTTGCAGATGCCATCCCCATCTTGGTTTTTTAATATATATAATATATTTGTACTGATTTTAGAGAGAGGGAGAGAGCGATGGAAACATCCATGATGAGAGAGAATCATGGATCGGCTGCCTCCTGCACGCCGCACACTGGAGGTCGAGCCTGCAACCTGGGCATGTGCCCTCACAGGAATCAAACCCTGACCTCCTGGTTCATAGGTCGACGCTCATCCACTGAGCCACACCAGCCGGCCTGTCATCTTTATTTAGATGAACTGCTCACCATGGGACGAACACACGGGAAGTAGCACCCTTTGGGCCCGGCCGAAGGGGCTCAGTTGGCTGAGCATAGTTCCATGCACCAAGAGGTCACCGATTGATTCCCCCGTGAGGGCACATGCCCGGTTGCTGGCTCGATCCCCAGTAGGGAGTGTGCATGCGGCAGCTAATGGATGTTTCTCTCTCCCTCGCTGTTTCTCTCTTTAAAAAAAAGGCTCGCTATATTAATTTTTACAATTCTTAACACTAGATCCATCTCACTATTTTACCTTATTAGCTATTTGGAATTTGTCTATTTTTATTTCTTCCCTGGAGTGCATGAATATGTATATTCATTCCCCAGCAGTTTCAGCCAAGTTCTTTAATTCCCCGAGTTTCTTGTAACCTGGAAGGAGTCTTTCTTTAGTTACCCCTCATCTTCCGGATCCTGGGCTTGACATACTTTTTGGCTGATGTCCTTGAATTGTGTCAGGTCATCTTATATCAGGACGTCTCTGGCAATAAATTACATTTGGTCTGAAAAACTTAAAGCAGCATTTGTTTGTTGCAGCTGCTTTAAGAACCACAGGGGACCCGGTTTCTAATTGCACAGAACGTATCTTATGCAAATTTCAAAGCAAATTCCAAGATGTCAATTAACTCTCAAGAACACATTTTATATGCCACTCCCTATTAAGCAAGGATTCCCAGAAGAATTCAGTGGCACTCAGGTTAGTGTACTGGACCTATGTAGCAACTTAAATCCTATATAATAAAAGCCTAATATGCAAATCGATCAAATGGCGGAATGACCGGTTGCTATGATGTGCACCGACCACCAGAGGGAAGATGCTCAACACAGGAGCTGCCCCCAGCTTGCAGGCCCTGACTGGTGGCGGCAGCAGAAGGCAGGGCTGATGACCAGGTGGTGCCAGGCCAACCAAGGCGGGTGCCAGTGGGGGTCCCCTGGTTGCCCCACAGATCGGTACTGATTGCCGGCCAGGCCTAGGGACCCTACCCATGCACAAATTCCATGCACTGGGCCTCTAGTAGAGAATGATAATCCCCAAAAGTTTTTCTCATCCTTTTGGCTTCATACATAGTCTTCCACATACTGTGCAATCCGGGCTGTGATCTGGCGGCTGTTCCCAGGATATCATGCCGATAACATTGTTGATAACAGCGTCATGTATTACAGAGCTTGCCACATTCATGACATTCTAAAAATATTTTCTTAGACTTTCTGGGCCAGAAGATGATAAGGCCATTTCACATTTAAAACAGAACTTTGGCCCTCGCCGGTTTGGTTCAGTGGATAGAGCGTCAGCCTGCACACAGAAGGGTTCCAGGTTCAATTCTGGTCAAGGGCACATGCCCAGGTTGTGGGCTCGATCCCCAGTAGGGGGCGTGCAGGAGGCAGCGGATCAATGATTCTCATCATTGATGTTTCTATCTCTCTCTTCCTCTCTGAAATCAATAAAAATATATTTTTTAAAAAGCCCCAGAACTTTGTAAATTATCTGTACAATTGTGTTCAGAATTATCCAAGTGTTACTTTGAAAGCAAAGGAACAGCCAAAATGCAATTTTTTGTTTTAAGAGAGGATGCTTAATTCTCATCTGAGACCGGGTTACAGTCTTGTTCAAATCAGCCAGATGTTAAAATAGATAAGAGCTCTGCATAATTTTGAAAAATATGTTTATTAATTTCAGAGGGGGGGGGGAGAGAGAGAGAGATAAATATCAATGATGAGAGAGAATCTCTGATCGGCTGCCTCCTATACACCCCACACTGTGGATGGAGCCCGCAACCCAGGCCTGTGCCCTGACTAGTCATCAAACTGTGCCCTCCTGGTTCACAGGTCAGTGCTCAACCAGTGAGCCACGCAGGCCGGGCTCAGCGTAATTTTGATTTTTGAGGTGTGGGCCTCATCTCAAAATGACCAGCCTGGCCCCCACTGTTGGTGTGTCTCTGCCTAAGGAAACTGGCCGCCCCTCTCCATGTTGTTTGCAAACATCCAGCGGCTGAGCTCTGCTTTCCGAGACTCCAAAATAAGTGTCATTTCAAGAGGCCTGGCGGCATCTTGGGGACCTCTCCATCCACAGCGACAAAACACAGGGCAGGTGGCCGGCCCTGTGGGAGGAACTGCCACCTGCAGGGAAGGCACTGTGAGCTACCTCCCACTTCATTTTTCCCTTTAGGAGGAGCGGGAACTAATTTTCTTTTTAACACCCCGGACACTAGTCCAGGCCGTCCCTTCCGCCTCCTCGCTGCCCACTGCCCGCCCCTCCTGTGTCAGCGCCCGGTGCCAGGACAATGGCCCAGTGTCCTGGGCTTGAAGAAAAGCAGAACAGCCGGGCCAGCGTGGTCAGTGGCTGGGCGTGGACCTAGGAACCAGGAGGTCACCATTGGATTCCCGGTCAGGGCACAGGCCTGGGTCGCAGGTCCCCAGTGAGGGGTGAGCAGGAGGCAGCCGATCCATGATTCTCTTTCATCATGGATGTTTCCATCTTTATCCCTCTCCCTTCCTCTCTGAAATCAATTTTAAAAATATATTTGTTAAAGCATCTTTAAAAACAAACAGAAGACGCTCATCGGGCAAAGGGACGGGGAGGAATAGGCGGCGGCTGGGTCGCTGGATGCCGCTTCCTGGCACGTTACCCGGCGGAAAAGTTTCCTTTGTCAAACAGTGGCCACGTGGCGCCATGGCGGCTCCAGCAGCCTCGGGCCGGGCCGCCGGGACCAGGGGACGCGCCAGCCACCTCCGGAGCTGGCCTGGGGGAGCCCCGAGAAGTGGGGGCCCCACGGGAACCATCGAGGGCGGACCCGGACAACGCCGCCGGGACCTTTGGGGTGTCACCAGGGGACAAATGCGGAGGTGGAGGGCGGGGTTCCGGGGGGTGGGCGGGAGCGGGAGGCGGGGTTCCCGGGCGTGGGGGTCGCGGAGGATGGGATTCCGGGGCCGGGGCGGGGATACGGGGGACGGGATCCCAGGGGGTCGGGGCGCGGAGGACGGACTCCGGGGGTGGGAGGACGTGGAGGGCGGGGCTCCCGGGGCGGAAGGGCGCCGATCTCGGGGGAGGGGCGCGGGGCGGGAGGGCGCGCGGGGCGGGGCGCGGGGTGGGGCGGGGGCTCCGGGCGGGGCGGGGGCGCGGGGAGCGGCGGCCGGCGGGGCATGGCGTCCATGGCGGCGGCGATCGCGGCCTCGCGCTCGGTCGTCATGAGCGGGAACCGGCCCCTGGACGAGCGGGAGCGGAAGCGCTTCTCCTACTTCGCGTCGCTGAGCCCCATGGCGCGGAAGATCATGCAGGACAAGGAGCGGATCCGCGAGAAGTACGGGCCCGAGTGGGCGCGCCTGCCGCCCGCGCAGCAGGACGCGATCATCGACCGCTGCCTGGTGGGTCCGAGCGCCCCCGCGCCCCGCGCGCCCGGGGACCCCGAGGAGCCGGCGCGCTTCCCCGGCCTGCGCGGACCCACGGGCCAGAAGCTGGTGCGCTTCGGGGACGAGGTAGGCGCGGCCGGGCGGGGACCAGGACCGGGACCGGGACCCTCGCCCCTCCCTGCGTCGAGGCTGCCCGTCCGGGGCGCGCGGGGGAGGGGGGCACCTGCCCGCAGCGGGGGCTGGAGCGGAGAGGGCGCAGGGGTGCGAGCGGCGGTCCGGGAGCCGAGGGGCGGCGTGGGGGCTCCCCGGGAGTTTGGGGGGCTCCCGAGAGCAGCAGGAGGTCTTTAAGGAACCCCCGTGTCGCCCTCTCCGCTGGGCCTCCCGGGCTGTTTCTCAAAGTGGACACAGCGGGGGTGTTAAGCCGGACGAGCGGGTTCTGGCCCCCTCAGCCCCCCCGCCTCCCCCGAGCCGGCCGCGGGGGGCGCCCCGCACATGACAGAGTCGCGTTGGTGAGCTGCCAGGGGCCGTGGAATTGCCAGGCGAGATAAGGGGGAGGAAGAGGTGCCCCCCCGGAGATAAGGGGCAAAACCCAGGCCTGGGAAGGAACGTTGCCCGAGGGAGCCGATGGATGCACCAGCCTTGTTTTGGGGGGCGAGCATGGTGGCCTCTTGTTTCCGCCGGAAAAAACGCAGGGGTACGTTTTGGGGAGACACAGACGCTGCAAAGAAAAGCTCAGGGGTGCCCCCCACCCGGTCACCAGGCCCCGAGGGGCCCGCGCTGCTCAGAAGCCGGGCTTTTCCTCCGAAGTTGGTTGAGCTGAAACCTGCCCTTAGGTTTCGCCCGGCGCTTTTTGGGGGGCCTTTGAGACTTTAACTTTTGCAGGAGAGTCGCCAAGTCAGAGGGAGCAGGAGGCGTGACAGTGAGACCCGCACAGGCTGGTGGTGAGGCTGGGAGGTGGCAGGGAGGAGGCGCCCGGCATGGAGAGCTTGGCCAAGGAAGTTGCGGACGGTGGGAGGGATTCTAGCCAAGAAGGAGGTTTGCATGCGATCTCCAGGCCTGGCTGTGCGGGGACATTTGTTAACACAAAAGGTTTGTGGTCGGGCCCTAAGCCCACGTGGATGCCGGGGACATGGGAAGGACAGAAACAGGCGGCCGATGTCCATTTATTCTGAAAGCATCAAAGAAAGAGTCTCTCTCGCCATCGATGTTCCTGTCTCTCCCCCTCTCCCTTCCTCTCTGGAATCAATAAAAATATATTTTAAAAAATAAATGAATAAAAATGCATCCCCTAGAGCTGGCAAAAGGGTGGCACCAGCGTGGCTCAGTGGTTGATCAATGAACCAGGAGGTCATGGTTCGATTTCCAGTCTGGCCACATGCCCTGGTTGCGGGCTTGATCCCCAGTGGGGGACGCGCGGGAGGCAGCCGACCCACGATTCTCTCTCATCATGGATGTTTCTATCTCCCTGCCCCTCTCCCTTCCTCTCTGAAATCAATAAAAATATATTTACAAAAAAAAAAAGAAGTCTCCATTAGACATGAACTTGCTTAGCCAGGAGAAGAGGGTGGGGCAAGCCGGAGGGATGACAGTATAGGTCGAAAATGTATTCCCAGAGCTGAGACCTTTTCAAAGGGAAAATATGCATCTCTCTAAAGATGTCTGCAGGGTCTGTGCTCAGACGGGGGAGGTGAAAATGCCGGCAGCGCCTCTTTGGAAAAGTCATGAAGAAATAAATACGAGAGGAAGTTAACCTGTAAGCACTGTACTTACAAATGCTGGCCCGTGCCCGGCCGGCGTGGCTCAGGGCTTGAGCGTCAACCTATGAACCAGAAGGTCAGGGTTTGATTCCCGGTCGGGGCACATACCTGGGTTGTGAGCTGGATCCTCCATGTGGGGCGTGCAGGAGGCAGCCGATCCATGATTGCCTCTCATCATTGATGTTTCTCTCTCTCTCTCTCTCTCTGTATCTCTGTCTCTCTCTCTCTTTCTCTTCCTTCCTCTCTGAAATCAATAAAAAATATCAAAACACACACACACACACACACACACAAAACCAAATGTTGGCCAGTGACTGTCAGTTTCCCTTAGTTTGGGGTCAGGCCTGCTCCCCATCAGAAAGCCGGGGCCAATAAGGGCTCAGCGTCCCTGATAAGGAAGAGGGGCCAAGTTCACTTAGGACTGTCATTCCTGAACCAGCTGCCAGGCTGAGCCCGTCCTGAGTTAAATTTGATTTAAAAACAAATGGAACTCTTATGGTCATACCTGTAGGTGCTTCCAGACCAAACCAGCCCTGTTTGTCAGCCTTGAGCTGTGCCAGGCGGGCCTAGAGCAGGCGGCTGAGGCCCTGACCAGCTCAGCACGGAGGGCACAGGCACAGACACGGCCTCTGAGGGGAGATCCACGGGCGTTGTCCCGGGCGTCTGTCTTTCTGCCTGCAGTGGCTGTGGTTTCACGGCACCATGGAATTTAAAATGCATCCCCTAACCCGGCCGGCGTGGCTCAGTGGTTGAGCGGCGACCCATGAACCAGGAGGTCACGGTTCGATTCCCACTCAGGGCACAGGCCCGGGTTGCAGGCTCGATCCCCAGTGTGGGGCGTGCAGGAGGCAGCCGATCCGTGACTCTCTCTCATCGTTGATGTTTCTCTCTCTCCCTCCCTCTCTCCCTTCCTCTCTGAAATCAATAAGAATATATTTAAAAATAAATTAGTAAAAATGCATCCCCTAGAGCTGGCGAAAGGTTGGCCGTTCATGGAGGAGGACTGGTGCCTCCTGCACGCCGCACCCTGGGGATCGAGCCCGCAACCCGGGCATGTGCCCTGACCGGGAATCGAACCGTGACCTCCTGGTTCATAAGCTGACGCTCACCGAGCCACGCTGGCCAGGCCCCATAGCAGCATTTTAAGTGAGAGTAGAGGGAGAGAGAGACAGAGAGAAACAGTGTGAGAGAGACACATGGATCGGTTGCATCCTGCTCGAGCCCCGACCGGAACTCTGGATCGAACCTGCAACCCAGGTACATGCCCTTGGCAGGGAATCAAACCGTGACACCCTTCAGTCTGAGGTCCAACATTCTAACCACTGAGCCAAACCGGCTAGGGCAGCCTTCGGCAGAAAAAGCAAAAGGGAAATTTGAGGGTTGCTTTTCGGCATTCTGGACTTGTTTGTTTTTTTAAAGAATGTGGATGTGTCATTATGGTCCCCACCGCCGTCTGGCACATCTGTGGCTGTCTTAGAAAAGATGCCAGGGTGGTATGGCTCTGGTGTCTCTGCCCCTGGCGTCCTGAGCCCTGGCTCGGGGCAGGAGTTAGAGAGAACGTGGCTATGAGTCCAGAGCCAGTGGCACAAGCTGCCCTGCAGATGGGGGGGGGGGGGGTTCTATGCCCAGAGCAGCACCTGGCAGGTACCCTGCCCCTGGGGCTCCTGGGAGGAAAGCCGCTGACCCAGCTGAGCCCGGGGAGCGAGCAGCACAGGCCCCTCCCTGGCCCCCGCGGCTGCCGGGGAACAGGTTTGGCAGAGAAATGAAATGACTAGCTCACCGTCAGGCAGGGAGGGGACCGCTGAGAGCACGGTGGCTGGTCTGGAGTCACCATTTGATTGGCAGGAGTCACCTTTACACCCTAAGCAAGAGATCCCCTTAGCACCGGACAAAAGAGCCATTTCTCGAAAAAATAAGACCAGCCCTTTCATTTATTTATTTATTTAATTGGCTTCAGAGACGAAGGGAGAGAGAGAGAGAGAGAGAGAGAGAGAGAGAGAGAGACATCCGCGATGAGAGAGAATCATGGATCGGCGCCTCCTGCACGCCCCACACTGGGGATCGAGCCTGCAACCCGGACATGTGTCCTGACCAGGAATCGAACCCTGACCTCCTGGTTCATAGGTTGACGCTCAGCCACTGAGCCACACCAGCCGGGCACGACCAGTCCTTTTATTATTTTTAAATATATTTTATTGATTTTTTTACAGAGAGGAAGGGAGAGGGATAGAGAGTTAGAAACATCGATGAGAGAGAAACATCGATCAGCTGCCTCCTGCACACCCCCCCACTGGGGATGTGCCCGCAACCAAGGTACATGCCCTTGGCCGGAATCGAACCTGGGACCCTTCAGTCTTCAGGCCGACGCTCAACCACTGAGCCACACCGGCCAGGCACGACCAGCCCTGTTAAACTTCCTACTTGTTTTTTTGTTCACTTCCCTGGCTCTGTCCTCCATGTGCCCCCTGGTCCCGCTGCCGCCACACGGGCCTCCCTGCAGGCCTGGGCTGGGCATTCGAATTCCTGGTGGACGCTGCCGACAGTTCAGCCGAAACCGCCTTTGTGCTGTCGGAAGTGCAGTCTGTACTCCACTTGAGGAAACGCTCCGATCAGCAGCGTTAAATATATCGCGAGTCAAAGGGAAAACCATCGATTCCATAAATACGTGGGCAGCTCTTAGTCCCTAAGAATAAGCAGTTGGTAGAAACAGAGCATATTGTAATGATTCTTCCTCCCTCCTCCCTCCTCTATTTTTAATAGACGTCATTATTTGTTTATTTTATTTTATATTTTACTAGACGCCTGGTGCACGGATTCGTGCACCAGTGGGGTCCCTCAGCCTGGCCTGTGGGGATCAGGTTGAAACGGGCTCTCTGACATCCCCGAGGGGTCCCAGATTGCGAGAGGGTGCAGGCCAGGGTGAGGGACCCCGCCTGTGCACGATCGGGGCCGGGGAGGGACCGCGGGAGGGCTCCAGGACGTGTCCCGCCCGTCTTGCCCAGTCCAATTGGCTGGACCTCAGCAGCCATCTAACTTACCGGTCGGTGTGTCTGCCCCCTGGTGGTCAGTGTGCGTTGTAGCGACTGGCTGAACGAATGATCAGACACTTAGCATATTAGGCTTTTATTATGTAGGATTGATTTCAGAGAGGATGGGAGAGGAAGAGAGAGAGAGAGAGAAACATCCATGATGAGAGAGAATCATGGATCGGCTGCCTCCTACACGCCCCGCACTGGGGATGGAGCCCGCAACCGGGGCATGTGCCCCGACCAGGAATGGAACCAGTCACCTCTGGATTCCTGGGTTGACACTCAACCACTGAGCCACACTGGCCGGGCCGAGCCAGGATAATTTTTAAGTGGGTGGTTTCCTGTGGCCCTTGGCAGAGAAAAGGCCCCCCGCCCCGACCTGGGGAGGTGGTTGGGTTGGTGAAACGAAGTCAGGTGGGGCCCACGGGTTCCGCTGTGGACACAGCATCCTCGCGGGTTCTGCTTGGCGGCCAGGCCTGCAGCTGCTGGTCACGGGCCTCTTCAGAGAGTCTTGAGTCTGGTGTCTGTGGATAGTTCCTGTGTGAACCCGAGTCTAGTTAGGACCTGGGGAGGGGGCCGCTCCCACTGACTCCCGTGGCAGGTGCGCCCTAGAGCCGGGGGAGGTCCCAGGAGGGCCCCCAGCCTGCGCTCAGAGAGGCCCAGAGTGCAGACAGGACTTTCACGGGGCTCGAGGGGCTGCAGAAGCAATTCTTCGAATGTTCCAGGAGAGGGGCTGCCAGTGGCCTGGCCCTGTGCTCCCCACGTCCTTCCTCCGCCGACCTGGGGGCACCTCAGGGACCCCCACTGCAGAGCCGTGCGCAGGTGCTGTCCCTGCGCCACAGGCTGAGAGGCAGCAGTCAAATCCACGGGAAGACGTGCTCAGTGGTCTGAGCAAGGCCACCCAAGGGGACGGGGACGCTCATGCAGTTCCACCAGGTTCGCAGTGAGCGCTCGGTCCGGAGCTTCTCTTTTTTGGATACTTTTGGAACAGACGTGACTTCCACAGATAAACCATAGCCGGTCAGCCCGGCCGATGTGGCTCAGTGGATAGAGCATAAGCCCTTGGACTGAAGGGTCCTGGGTTCGATTCCGGTCAAGGGTAGGTACCTGGGCTGCAGGCTTGATCCCCAGTCCCGTTCGGGGGCACGTGCGGGAGGCAACCAATCGATATTTCACTCTCTCTGTCTCTCCCCCTCCCTTCCACTCTAATAATCAATGAAGAAATATAACCAATGAGCCCTGGCTGGTTTGGCTCAGTGGATAGAGCGTCGGCCTGCAGACTGAAGGGTCCTGGGTTCGATTCTGATCAAGGGCACAGGCCCGGGTTGCAGGATCAATCCCCAGTAGGGAGACATGCAGGAGGCAGCCGATCAGTGATTCTCATCATTGATGTTTCTATCTCTCTCCCCCGTCCCTTCCTCTCTGAAATCAATAAAAGTATATATATTTTTTTAAAAAATCATAGCCAATTATAGAGTTACTTGTAGCCAAATAATTTCAAAAGCAAAATACCCAAACCCTTGCAGAAATGACATTTAACGTGGAATGTGGAGCGTTGGCTGCAGGGAGGAGTGGGAGGTGGGGGCCGTAGCCCCGTCCAGGCCCCGGGTGATGGTCCTGAATCAGGGTCCTGGCGGGAGCAGTTCTGATGCCTGGGAGCCTGTCCGGCCGCCCGCGCCCCCTGGGGCTGGAGCGCAGGCCAGCGCTGACATCAGAGCTTCGGCCGCATTTTTGTGTGGCGTGTTTATTTTTGTCAGGCACTCTGTTATTTTTTTATGAGCTCAGAATGGCAGAAATCTCAGGAATGTGCCCCTTGACTCGGTTCCTTGCGGGAGCCAACAGCAGACGATGGACTTGACACCAAATTGGGGAGAAATCGCGGAGAGGCGCCCTCCCCGTCTGACCCCCTTGGCGCGGCCGCTCCCCGCTGGCTGTGACCAGGGACACGGCTGGCTGTCCGAGCTCCAGGCCGAGTCTTTGGTGCTGAGAGTCCCGAACTCATTCACCTTCTGGAACCGGACAGCCAGCGGGTCCCGGCTGCCTGTCACGACGTGAGCCGGTGCAGCAGAGGGACGCAAGCTGCATAATTGACGTTTAGAAGAGAGAGCAGATCCCACAAGGAGGGAGTCCAGCCCGGGGTGCCCTGCCTGGGCCAGGGCCCCCGCGCCCTTCCCTTCCCTTTCTGTCCAGGCCCAAATCGAGATGAAAGGAGATTTACGGTCTGTCCACCGGCTCTGTTTTCCCATCTGCCAACAAGGTCCCTCTTGTTGTATCATTTCTGAGATCGTAGCATTGTAGGACCTTCAGGTCATTTGGCTCAACTGCACTCCTCCCCCCCACACCCCTCCCCTCACCCCCACCCCCACCCTCCCGCACACCCTCCCGCAGCTGCAGACTCCGGTCAGAGAGGCTGGTCGAAGCGCATGCCTCCCGGCAGCCCATGGCCATTTTTGGAGGAAGGAGTTTGTAAATGAAAATAACTTGGGTTTAACTGACATTCCACACGGGAGGGCGGTGGCCCACGCTCCCTCTCTTTTTTTAAAAAAATTTTTATAAACTTAAAAAAAAAATATATATATATATATATATATATATTTTTTTTTTAAATATATTTTATTGATTTTTTACAGAGAGGAAGGGAGAGAGATAGAGAGTTAGAAACATCGATGAGAGAGAAACATCGATCAGCTGCCTCCTGCACATCTCCTACTGGGGATGTGCCCGCAACCCAGGTACATGCCCTTGACCGGAATCGAACCTGGGACCTTTCAGTCCGCAGGCCGACGCTCTATCCACTGAGCCAAACCGGTTTTGGCAAATATATATTTTTTATTGATTTCAGAGAGGAAGTGGGGGAGAGAGAGGGGGAGAGAGGGAATCATCAATGATGAGAGAGAATCATGGATCGGCTGCCTCCTGGTACGCCAGCGGGCAGTTCACAGGTAATGGAGGCCTGGCATTTGCAAAGGGCTGTGGGTATGCAAAGGCGGGGGGTCTTCAAAGGGCTGGGGCTCTGGTCTGCAACAAGGTTGTCGATCTTTCCGTGATCACAGGCAGCGCCCGGATGGGGAGGAGGGGCCGCATGTCCAGGTGAGCGCCCAGGCCCACAGGCTGCTCCCAGCCAGGTTAGGCTGTGCCTCCTCCAATCAGAGCAACGCCACCGCGGCCAACAGAGCGTGATGACTGTCCCTTACCGTCCGGGCTGGTCCCCAACAGCCTGTCTCTGCCCCATCAGCTTGACAGACGAGGAAACTGCGCCTCAAAAGCAGCGGTTCTCAACCTGTGGGTCGCGAGCCCTTTGGGGGTCGAACGACCCTTTCACGGGGGTCGCCTAAGACCCTTGGAAAACACATAGATAATTACATATTGCTATGTGATGAATCACTATGCTTTAATGATGTTTAATTTATAACAATGACATTGGGGGTCACAACATGAGGAACTATATTTAAGGGTCGCGGCCTTAGGAAGGTTGAGAACCGCTGTTCAAAAGGCTAATCATCATCCCGTGGCCCCTTGGGTCAGCTGCCTCCTGCACGAGGGCTGAGCCCTGGGTCCTAACGCCCCCTCCCCTTTCTCCCCAACATCCATCCTGGGCCTCCCGGGCGGGCGGTCAGCGCCGTCTGCCTGGCCTGGGAGCCGCGTGGCCGGCAGCCTCGGGAAGGCCCGGAAGGTAGGGGACAGCCAGGCCGCCGCCAGCACATTCTGCCCAGGGCGACCCGACGCCAGGCCCGCTCCCAGCCAGGACCTGGGATGGTTCCCAGGGGTCGGTTCCCCGCGGCCTTGGCAGATGTTTGCCGGGGGCGCTCGGGTCCGAGTTTCAGATTTCTTCTTGAATTGTCGTTTCAGGACATAACTTGGCAGGACGAGCACTCGGCCCCTTTCTCCTGGGAGACGAGGGTGAGTTGGATTCGGTCTAGATTGGCCCGCCCTCTTAGCAGGACCTGCATCCTTGTGCGTTTTTCTTGCAGCCTTCGCGGGACTCGGAAGGCCGCGGGCCCCACACGGCCGGCCGGGGAGAGGCGAGGAGGGGGGAGGGCTGGCGATGAGTTAGCTCCCCTCTGTGGGGGCCTGGGGTGTGGGGGCTCAGCCCTGAGGGCATCGGTGGGGGTGCTCTGTAGGGCAGAGCTGTGAGCGGAGCTTTTCATTTTAATTATTTTTTATTTTTATTCTTTGAAATACATGTTTATTGATTTCAGAGAGGAAGGGAGAGGGAGAGAGAGATAGAAACATCCATGATGAGAGAGAATCATGGATCGGCTGCCTCCGGCACGCCCCCCACTGGGGATGTGTCCGCAACCAAGGTACATGCCCTTGACTGGAATCGAACCTGGGACCCCTCAGTCTGCAGGCCGACGCTCTATCCACTGAGCCACACCGGTCAGGGCCATTTCGTCTGTTTTTAACCTGGGTGAGGATTGGGGGCCGGGGAGGAGAGGTGGTGGTTCCCAGGTAGCTGTTGACACGGGTCTCGGCTCCCGGGGCCAATGTGGGGGACAGGCGCCCGGAAAAGGTTTTGAGAACAGCTCTGTTCGCGGATGCGGGGCCAGTGGGGTCACCCTCGTGCTGCCCGTCCCTGTCCGCCGACGCCGGCGGGTCCCTCGGGAGCCCGGTGACTTGAGCAGGCGCGATAAAATCAAGTTAGTGTGTCACCCGTTGTCACCGTGTCCCTGCAGCCGGGCACGTCTTTGTGGGTCAGCGTCCCCGTCCAGGCTTGTCCCCTCTCGGGGCGGAGCCGCTGGCCTCCCGGCCGCGGGGCTCACGCTGCGGCCTCACCTTCGGGCCGACCTGCAGGTCGGACGTGGGTGGTTTCGGGTTGGAGCTGGTGGAGGGTGTCCCGGAGCCCAGAGGCTCTTGTCCCCTCCCCCGTCCTGATGAGTCAAGGTCGACGTCCAGAAAGTCCCCCACCTCCCCTCCCGGCCTCAGGCTCCGAGCCACCTGCCCCCTGCGACCTGGACTTGGTCACTCTCTGCCTTCGGACTCACAGGCTGGTCGGAGCCCGGCCGGTGCGGCTCAGTGGTTGAGCGTCGACCTAGGAACCAGGAGGTCACGGTTCGATTCCCGATCAGGGCACAGGCCCGGATTGCAGGCTCCATCCCCAGTGTGGGGCGTGCAGGAGGCAGCCGATCCATGATCCTCTCTCATCATGGATGCCCCTCTCTCTCCCTTCCTCTCTGACATCAGTACAAACCCGTTACAAACACACACAGTAGAGGCAGCCGTGAGGGAGAGCTGCGTGTGCTGGCGGAACCCACAGGAGCACCGCTGGCCGCCCAGCCGTCCCTGCAGCCGCCCCGTCACATGTCGGTGGACTTGCTGGGACCTGTAGGCTCTCATCTTCCCCGACGACTCAGTTCAGCCGCCGCCTGCGTGCGTGCGTGTTGCCTACGTGCCCCCAGCTCTCCCGGCTCTGACGCTCAGATACCTGAGGCCGGCGAGCTGACCCCGGCCACGCTGTCCACGCTGTCCACGCTGTCGGCCGTGCGGGCAGAGCTGAGAGCCCCGGGGGCGCCTCTGTGTGGGCTCCTTCCTTTAGGCCGGCCCCCGGGGTTCCCCCTGCGGAGAGCAAGCTGGTGCTGTGTGGGGGCTGTGGTCGCTGCCCGGTGCCAGGGTTCAGAGGTCGCTGCCCGGTGCCAGGGTTCAGAGGTCGCTGCCCGGTGGAGCACAGCTCTCAGCAGGAGAGCCCCTGATGGCGGAACCATCCCCCAGCTCTCCCCCACGGGCCTGTTTCTACTGTGTGTGGAGTGAGGGTGGGGCGGGGGGAGAGGGCACAGACTGGTCTCGGTGTAGCACCAGCCTCCTGGGATCCCTCTGTCTTCCACCCCATGCTCCCTCCCTGGTCCCGTCTCCCTCCCAGGCTGACCCTCATCCTCCCTTCCTGGTCCCTCCTCCCTCCCAGCTGACCCTCATCCTCCCTCCCTGGTCCCTCCTCCCTCCCAGCTGACCCTCATCCTCCCTCCCTGGTCCCTCCTCCCTCCCAGCTGACCCTCATCCTCCCTCCCTGGTCCCGTCTCCCTCCCAGGCTGACCCAGGTGCCTCTGTTGTTCTGACTTCTCCATCAGAGAGGGGGGCTCAGAGGGAGGCTGCGGGGCCCAGCTGGGGTCGGGGTGGTTGGGCCGGCGTTTTCCCACTCCTGTCGGCCTGGCAGGCGAGCGGGGGTGGGGAGGGCGCCCCTGGGACCCCGCGGTGGATGCCTCTCTCAGGCTCCTGATCTTTCAAGAGGAAAAAACCCAGCACTTGGAATGTTCCCGAGAGGGGGCGGGCGGGAGCCCAGCCGTGCTTGGCATTCCCGTGCTCTGGGCTGGTCGCTGGGAGTATCTGGGGAGACAGACGCCTGCAGAGGCCGTCACGCCTGGCACTGGTAGCTGGGCTCTGGGGACCCCACCCCACCCCCACCCCCACTGTACTTTCCATCCCCAAGTTGTCTGGACTCTATTCCTTTTTAAAAAAAATATGTATTTTTTAAATTGGTTTCAGAGAGGAAGGGAGAGGGAGAGAGAGAGAGAAACATCCATGATGAGAGAGAGTCACGGATCGGCTGCCTCCTGCACGCCCCACACTGGGGATGGGGCCCGCAACCCAGGCATGTGCCCTGACCGGGAATCGAACCGTGACCTCCTGGTTCACACGGCGACGCTCAGCCCCTGAGCCCCACCGGCCGGCCGGGCACTATTTCCCCGCTTCTCCGTCCTCTTCCTTCCTGGGAGGCACCGCGGAGAGAGTGGACGTTCGCTGGTTCGAGATTCTATTAGGATTTGCTCCAGAAAACCCTCGTCTCCCCCCACGGCGTTGCTGCAGCCTCCGTTCGGCGTCTAGATCTGCGGAGGCCGCCAAGCCAAACAGTTGGTTTTGGCCGCCTGCGCGCCCCCTTCCCTGCGATTTTAACATTCCTCTCCAGTGAGTGGGACGCAGAAATAGACACTGCGCTCCGTTGTGGTCTTTCTGTTTTTAGAACGGACGTGGCCAGCGGAGCCCCGGTTCCCCCCTGGGGTCACTGACACGCTGTCCTGGCTGGACTGACTCCCTCACCCCCTCCCACCGCCCTCCCCACCCCGCACACCCTCCCCAGCCGGCTCTTTGGTGGGGCTGTCAGCATCATCGCCGGACGGGAGGGAGGTTCCTGTTCACCCCTCATCTCTCCTCTCAGAGCCAAGGCCAGCCCTGGCCGGTGTGGCTCAGCGGATAGAGTGCTGGCCTGCGGACTGAAGGGTCCCGGGTTCAAGTCCAGTCAAGGGCACAGGGCTGGGTTGCGGGCTCAACCCCCAGTGTGGGGCGTGCAGGAGGCAGCCGATCCGTGATTCTCTCTCATCGTTGATGTGTCTGTCCCTCTCCCTTCCTCTCTGACATCATTTAAAAAATAAAAAAAAGATGGAGGGTGACCTGGACCTCCTACCCACCTGCCCGCCTGTTTGCAGCCACTGCATCTCACCCGTCTCCGGCGCTCATCACGGGGTGCAGAGGCTGCCCCTGCTCCCGCTGGCTGCTCTGTCCGTGGTCGGATGGGCCCCGCCTGTCAGAGCTGCCAGTGGCGTGACCTTCAGGGGCAGGTCGAAGGGGAGGCGGTCAGAGCCCCTGGCAGTCCCAGACCCGCTCAGCCGGGAATGCTGGAGGCCTGGGACCGAGGGAGACGAGATCTAACAGGAGAAAAGGCCCGTCTCCTCCTCTCCCTGCCTCCCGCGCCTTCCCGGCGGGGCGCGCTTTACATACTACAAACAAACCCCTGGGTCTGGGGGGGCTGTGGGAGGAGACGCAGCACCCCGCATTGGTCAAGGAGGACTGCTTTACAAATATATATATATATATAGATTTTATTTCAGAGAGGAAGGGAGAGAGAGAGGGAGAGGGAGATAGAAGCATCCATGGTGAGAGCGAATCATGGATCGCTGCCTCCTGCCCGCCCCCCACTGGGGATCGAGCCCACAACCCGGGCCTGTGCCCTGACCGGGAATCGAACCCTGACCTCCTGGTTCATCGGTCGACGCGCAACCACTGAGCCGCCCCGGCCGGGCCAGGAGGGCTGTTTCTTAAAGGAGATTGTGGTCATGTCTCACTTGCACAATAGAACATAACATCTCCCCGGGGGAGGGGACTCAGGGTCAGATACTCCAGGCTGTTTTCCTCCCGTAGGCTCTGGCTTTCCTCGTCTTCATCCCAAAGCACCCAAACCAGGTCAACCCGCCCAGCCGCCCCTCCTCGCCAGGGGACGCCCTCCCGGGAGGAGCGGGGACGTGGAGGGAGCAGGACCGTCCCTGCTCCAGAAGGTCACACCCAGCCCAGTGCTGCCCGAGTGCCCTTTCCACTCGCCCCCAGCGGCCTGGGCCTCACCCGGTGCCTCTGGCCCTGCCTCCCCGCACCTCCCCTCCCCTCCCCTCCCCTCCCCTCCCCTCCAGTCCACGTAGGCCGACGGCCTGGCTTTCCTGAGGCTTCTACGCGGGATCCCGCGGGAGAAATTGCTGCTCCCAGAAAAGCCTGCGCTCCACGAAGGCCCCCCCGTCCCCCTCACTCTGCAATTTCCACATCAAAGTCCAGGCTCGCTCCCGCGACAGAGGCCTATTTAAAGACACCAGCGGCTCTGTATCTGTTCGGTCGCGGAATTCGGAAAGACGCTGGGCGCGGCGGGTTCGCCCGGAAACGGGCTCTTAACAATCCAGTGAGGTCCCGGGCGCTTTGTCTAGAAACGGTGCCGCGGACAAGGCGACGAGCTGTCCACGCGGGCGTCACTCCTGGTGGCCCTCTCATCGCTGCTGTCTCTCCCTCTCTCCTTCTCCCTTCCTCTCTGAAATCACTACAGATATATCTTAAAAAGAGAGAGAGGGAGAGAGTTCTAGAAAATGGACAACAAAGCCTGGCTCTCGCTGCTGGGCTGGGGGCTGTGGGCGCGGTGGATGTTGTCAATCCTCACCCGAGGGTGTTTTTTTCCCCCATTGGTTTTTAGCGAGAGTGGAAGGGAGGGAAAGCGAGAGAAACACTGAAGTGAGAGAGACACACGGATGGGTTGCCTTCCCCACACGGCCCGTTCGGGGTCTGCGTTCGAGCCTGCGGCCGAGTCTACGTGTCCTTGACCGGAATCGAACCCAGGACCCTTGAGTCCGTGGGCCGCCACTCTATCCGCTGAGCCACACCGGCCAGGGCTCTGAGCTTGGGATTTGAACTTGAGTCCTTTGTGGCCTGGTCACCACCCCTGGATCTCATCACAGGACCTGCGCTTCTCTGTTACCCATATCGGGAGCCCATAATCAGGAAATTGAGGCCCGCCCGGTGGGGCTCAGTGGTTGAGCGTCGACCTATGAACCTGGAGGTCACGGTTCGATTCCCGGTCGGGGCACAGGCCCGGGTTGCGGGCTCGGTCCCCAGTGTGGGGCGTGCAGGAGGCAGCCGATCCATGATTCTCTCTCATCGTTGATGTTTCTCTCTCTCTCCCTCTCCCTTCCTCTCTGAAATCAATACAGATATATTTTAAAAAGAGAGAGAGGGAAAGAGTTCTAGAAAATGGACAACAAAGCTTGGTTCTCGCTGCTGGGCTGGGGGCTGTGCGCTTGTCCTCGGGGTTCTAAGGGTCGTCTCTGTTCTCTCCCCCGTCCCCCGTGCCCCCCCCCCCCCCCCCCCCCCCCCCGCTGCAGAGCCAGATGGAGTTCAGCGTCTCCTCCTTATCCATCCAGGAGCCCAGCGGCGGCCCCCCCAGCGAGCCCCGCCCGCCGTCCAAAGCCTGCCAGGCCCCCCAGGCCCTCCGGCCGGCCCAGGGCGGCAAGTCCTCCAGCCTGGATGCCCTGGGCCCCGCCCGGAAGGACGAGGAGGCCGCCTTCTGGAAGATCAACGCCGAGCGCTCCCGCGGGGAGGGGCCCCAGGCCGAGTTCCCCTCGCTGACCCCCAGCCAGATCAAGTCCATGGAGAAGGGGGAGAAGGTGCTGCCCGCCAGCTACCGGCCGGACCCCGCCCCGAGGGACAGGGAGGCCAAGGCGGAGCGGCCCGTCCCCCCGCGCGCGGAGCCGCTGGCCCTCCCCGGCGCCGGCGTCCAGCCCGAGGGACCCCCGCCCGTCGGGGCGTCGCAGGAGGGCGCCCCCTCGCAGCCCGTGGGCCAGCCGCTCTCCCCCGGGGCCGGCCCCAGCGATGGGGAGATGGCGGATGAGCTGTTCTCCGAACCCAGCGCCACACAGGTGGGTGGCCCTGCTCCGGGCAGGAGGTGGGTGGGCCCTTCCTCTGGGCGGGACACGGCCGTTTCCACCTCCGGGCGGCTGTGAATCGTGAGCACATACCTGTTCGAGGCCCCGCCTTTGTTTCTGGTTTTGTTTTGTTTTGCTAATCCTCACCCGAGGTAGGCTATTTCTCCATTGATTTTTAGAGAGCGTGGAGGGAGAGAGGGAGAGAAACATCGATGTGGGAGAGACACATCCGTTGGTTGCCTCCCCGCACGAGCCACGGCCAGGGCCAGGGATCGAGCCGCCATCCAGGCACGTGCCCTTGACAGGAATCGAACCCAGGACCTTCCAGTCCGAGGGCCGACGCTCTGTCCACTGAGCCAAACCGGCCAGGGCTCCAGTCCCTGCTTTCAGTCCCTCGGGGCGGATCCCAGAAGAGGCATCGCGGGAGCAGGTGGCAGCTCCGTGTTCCACGGCGGCCGCACCCGTTCACATTCCCGCGAGCAAGACGTCTGGTTTCCCCACATCCTCGCCAATGCTTGTTATATTTTCCCTTTTTTAAAAAAATATATTTTTATTGATTTCAGAGTGAAAGGGGAGGGAGAGAGAGAGAGAAACATCCATGATGAGAGAGCATCATGGATCGGCTGCCTCCTGCACGCCCCACACTGGGGATGGAGCCCACAACCTGGGCCTGGGCCCTGACCAGGAATGGAACCCTGACCTCCTGGTTCCTAGGTCGACGCTCAACCACTGAGCCACACCGGCCAGGCCTCCCCATACTTTTTATTCTCTCAGCTTTGCAAGGTGTGTGTGTGTGTGTGTGTGTGTGTGTGTGTGTGTGTGTGTGACATCAGAAAGACTGTTTGTGACGTGTTCTCTTGTTCCGTGATGACTGCATTCACACATGCCTGACTTTCAGAAAAGAGAGAGGCATGCTTTCCTCCTTTGCTGTGCGGGTTGGTCTAGACCAGTGGTTCTCAACCTTGGCAGCACATTAGAATCACCTGGGAATCTTTTTTTAAATTTCTTTATTGGTTAAGGTATTACAAATGTGTCCTCATCCCCCCATTAACCCTCAACCTGCCCCCCCCCCCACACTCATGCTCTCACCCCCCTGTTGTCCGTGTCCATTGGTTTGGCTTATATGCATGCAGACAAGTCCTTTGGTTGATCTCTTCCCCTTACCCCCACCCCACCCGGGAATCTTTTTAAAATCCTGATTTCCTGGGCCTCCTCCTCCGGAAATTCTGTTTCTTTGTGATGGGGCGGGGCCACCACGTTAGTAACGAAGAAACAGAATTTCCGGAGGAGGAGGCCCAGAAATCAGGATTTTTTAAAAAGATTTCCGGGTGATTCTAATGTGCAGCCAAGGTTGAGAACCACTGGTCTAGAAGCTGCTCACAGACATGCCTGGGGACAGAGAGAAGCGTGTGGATCCGGGCCGAGTGTAGCCTGCATAGAATTTGATTTTTTTTTAAATTTTTTATTGTTGATAGTATTACAGAGATCTCCCCACCTCCAACCCTCCGTCTCCCAGCCCCTCCCCATTCCCCGAGGTCTTCATGGGCTGTGCCTATAAGTATATACGTTCCTTGGTTTATCTCTTCTCGTCCCCGCAACACCACATCCAGGCATGTTGGTCGCATTGAACCTGATTTTAAAATTTTCTGGTTCCAAGCGCCGAGGCAAATGGCGGTCAGGGAGCCTCGCGGACGGAAGCAGCTCCTTCATTTGGGTCATTTTAAACGAGATGCTGTTTTTAGGTTACTCGGCCCTAAAAAAAGTCCTTCTGCTGACGCGGCTGCTCTCGTCTCTCCCGCAGGTCAGCGCAAGCAGTGTCATCCTGAAGACGGGGTTTGATTTCCTGGACAACTGGTAAAATGAGTCAGACACACGCGCACAGACCCCACAGAGAAACCAAGAACCCCCGACGATTCCCGCCGAGGTGCGGCCGGGCCGGCGGGCGCGGGCGGAAAGGGCAGCCTCTCCCTGGGGCCTTTCCCGGTCTCTGTACGCGGTTATTTTTTTTGAATCTTTTGGAAACTGTAAGAATCGCCGTGTCCAGATTTCCAGAGCTCCCCCCTCTTTTGCTAAGACCCGATGTATCGGCCGTTTTCCACGATTTGATAACCGAAGTTTTTGCATTTGGAATTTTTAAAGACCGGTAGGCATTCCTGCTGTGCACTGGTTCCCCCTCCTCTGGCAAAGGGCTCTCTCTCCACCAGTCACACAAGTGACAAGCGTGGCCTCCATCTCCTTCTCCTTCGTCCCCCATTCCCCCCTTTTTTCTCTGTGGGGGTTTCCTTGGACGGTTTACCTTGGATGGGTGGTCGCCGGTGATGCCCTCAGCAGTGTGGCAGCAGCGCGCCGGCTGCCGTGGTGGGCCGATTTGTTCCCCACGTGCCCCCCTCCCACCCTCACCCCCAATCCCAGCCGCCCAGGGCTCCCCTGGCCGACCCCACCCTTCGCCCCTGCGTCATGTCCAGGAAACAGACGTGAGGCCTGGCCGGGGGCGTCTTTGGGCCCATGCCTGGTACCCGGGCATCCTTGCGTCCGTCCGCGTTGCATGTCTAAACGTTTTGTGTTAACGTCTCATTATTTCCTGTCGAGATCTAGCGGCGGTGGGGCTACCCCTCTGCTTGCGTTTGTACCGTTTTCCTCCTGGAAGTTCTTCGCTGCTGATGTGGCCCATGGGTGTCCCCACCTGCCCCCCCTCTCCACGCCGAGGGCGGGTGGCGGGGTCACCCGAGGACAGGGCTCTTCTGATTGGTTGCGAGACCTTCCAGCCCGACCCTGGCTGGGGCAGGTCCCGCCGGCCACCACGGACCCTCCCGAGGCCCGCCCGCCCGCAGAAGCTCAAGAGTCCAGTTTCTGCGGGGACCTGGAGACCTCTGTCGTCATAGCAACGGCGTCTCCCAGAGAGGGACAGAGGGACCGCGCGGCCCACTGCTGCTCCAGTGAGCGTGGCTCCCAGGCTGCCCAGGGGAGCAGGGCGGCCCCTGCACCCACCGGGGTGGGAGGAGTGGACCCGCCACCCTTCCTCTTCGCCCACCGGAGTCGGCCCGGCCCCCCGGAGCTGCGCGAACCCGCGGGACGCGCCCCAGCGTGATGGACACGGCACCTCTCACTGTGTTCTGCTCACCGACGCCTTAATCCCCGCCCCTCCTGCCAGCCAGCACCTGGTCCAAGCCTCTGGGTTTTTTAAAAAAAGAAAAACGCCTCTTTGTTTCACGGGACAGATCGGAAACGACTTCCAGATATTCTCTCTGGCTCCGAGGGGAGGCACGCGGCCGCGCTCTCTTGTTGTTTTTTTCCAGGGAGGTTTCTGCCAAAGCCGCGGCCGAGCCAGTGTTGTTGGGGTTTCGTTCCCGCCAGTTGCTTCGTGTCCCCAAACCTCATCTGGCCCCCTGGGCCCTGGGTTCGACCTGCCTCCGTTTGCTGACTGTCTCGTTTTTTAAGAATAGATTTGTATTCATTTCAGGGAGAGGGAGGGAGAGGGAGGGAGGGAGACCCATGCATCGGCTGCCTCCTGCACGCCCCACACTGGGCATCCAGCCCACCCCCTGGGCCAACATCGAACCCTGACCTCCTGGTTCACAGGTCCGACGGCCAACCACTGAGCCACCCCGGCCGGGCTGCTGACCGTCTTTATTGTGGCAAATACAGGTTCTTTCTGTGCCGTTTAAATGTAGTTGAATAGACAAGGGCAGAGACGTCTCCAGCAAGGTGGGAGGGACAGAGCCTGGAGTCCCAGCAGGGGCCAGCCCCCCCATCCCTCCCGGCCAGCGGCGGGGCCCCAGCCCAGAAAGCGGGGTCCCTGCCCAGAAAGCGGGGTCCCTTAAGAACCGGGGGCCGTGCAGGCGTTGAGTTTGTGTTCCTCGGTGTTGGTGGCAGGATAGGAAGATCCGTGTCCCGGGACCATGCCCACGAGGTGACCTGTCTGTCCCGGGAGACGATGCATCTCTCTCCCACTTTCTCCTGGAGCCACGGAGCCCCTTCACGGTCCCCCGGGAAACCCCAGAGGGGTCCCGAGTCCTGTCGCTTTGCTCCACTTTGGGGAGTCAAGGAACCTGCCCGAGGTCTGCACCCCGCCCGACCCTGGGGTCCTCCTCGGATCCGCATCCTCCTGGGCACAGGGTTCCCTGCCCGTCCTCCTGGGGATCGACGCCCGGTGCCTCCAAATCAGGGGAATGAAGCTCTTATGCTCGCCACCTTTTTCCTCCCTGGGTATCGGGACTGAGCTTCTAAAACCAGGAGTTTCTGTGTATTATTTTTTTTTAAAAAAATACACCCTTTTCAGCGGAAGCCTGTATGTTTTGGGATTCACCACCCCCATCCCCCCCCCCCCCCCCCCCCCCCCCGCTCCAAAGATTCAGCTCAAGGATTCAGCGTCTTGCTCCGGGTGGACTGTCTTTTGCAAACTCCCTCCCGAGAAGCCAGACGAGGGCCCGAGTCCTTTCCCCAGCCCCCCCGGGTCTGTCCCCTGCCCCCCGGGTCCGGATGCGCCGCCCACGTGGGGAATCTCGGGGTGGCGGGCCCCCCGGAGCGGGGGTCGGAGCGGCCTCCTTTTCTTGGAGCCTCTCCCTCTTTGATACACGGTTTTCCAAGAGAAACGTTCTTACTGACTCCTTGTAACCCGGTTGTATTCTCTATTTTCTATTAATAGCCTTTAATAAAACCATTTCAGAGAGTCCTGGCCTGTCTGCTTGGGCCCCTGCGGGGGCCAGGACGCCTGTGAGGACGCGTCTGCTGAACGCAGAGGAGGAGAGACGGGTTCTTACCAGTTACTAGTAAAAGCGTGAAATCTCTCTCTTTTAAAAAACAAACATTTTGATTGATTCCAGAGGAAGGAAGAGAGAGAAACATCCATGATGAGAGAGAATCATGCACCGGCAGCCTCCTGCACGCCCCACACTGGGGATCAAGCCTGCAACCCGGGCGTGTGCCCTTGACCGGGAATCGAACCCTGACCTCCTGGTTCATAGGTGGATGCTCAACCCCTGAGCCAGGCCAGGCCAGCGTGAAACCCCTTCAGGAGGCACCCTGTGCGCAGTCCTGACGCGGTACCCCCTGGAGGCTGGTGGGAAGCGGTGTCGAGGGGCACGGGCCCCCAGAGACGGGGTGGGCTCTGTCCCGGAGGGCTCAGGCTCAGGCTCCAGCCCCTGGTGAGGAGTGTGGGGACCCTAGCCCGCTGCTTTGACACAGGACCCGCACGCCAAGCATTCGCTGCCAGCCCCTCCTGTGAAAATGTCCAGGCCTCAGCGGAAAGCCTGTGTCACAGGGACAGTGCGGGCTGGGGATGAGGGCCCGGTGCCAGCCTGGCCACACCCGGCCGGCCGGCGGCCTCCCGCCACCCCCGCATTTCATCTCCATCCACTGGTTCATGCTAACATCTGGCCCCAGGGTGGCAATAGCATATATTTTTCTTCATAGTTCTTTTTTCCTCTCTCTCTCTCTATTTTTAAATATGTTTTTATTGATTTTTTAGAGAGAGAAAGGAAGGGAGCCGGAGAGAGAGAGAGAAACATGGATGATGAGAGAGAATCATGGATCGGCCGCCTCCTGCACGCCCTTCAGTGGGGATCGAGCCCACAGCCCGGGCCTGTGCCCTGACCGGGAATCGAACCAGCAACCTCTTGGTGCACGGGACGATGCTCAGTCCACTGAGCCGCCCGCGCCAGGCCTGCCTGCAGGTTTCTCATGCGGATGGAGGTCTTGTCAAAATCCAGCCCCGAGCAATGCGGCCCTGAGGGTACGTGGGAGTTGTTTCTTGGGGGGACCCAGGTGCTAGGTGGACCCCGGGGGGCTGTGGCTCTGAGGGACCGGGGATGGGGTGGGGGCGTCTGCTGAGTCACACTGGTGCTTCTGCCCTGCCCGCGGGAGCCAGCACACTCTCCGGCGCACCCCGTTCTGCCGATAATGGGACACAGATGTTCCTCGTCTGCAGGCTCCGGGGCCTCCTCGGGCAGACGCTGCCTCCCCCGCCCACCTCCACCCTCCCCGGGGGCTGGGTCTGAGCTGGGAGGGTGTGTGCCCCCCATGTTGGGGGGGACTCCAGGGCCCATTGTTCTCGGAGGAAGAAAGCGCCACCTGTGATATTTCCCAGCCCCCCAAGTCCCTCTAGCTTTTATTTGATTTTATTAGTTTTCATCCTCACCCGAGGATATTTCCCCCATTGATTTTTAGAGAGAGGGAAAGACAGAAATACCGACGTGAGGGAAACGCATCGATTGGCTGCCTCCTGCACGCCCCACACGGGGTATTGAGCAACCCTGCCCGGGAATCGAACCCTGAACTTCCTGGTTCCTAGGTCGACGCTCAACCGCTAAGACTGTGGTCTGCAGACTGCGGCTCGCAAGCCACGTGCTGCTCTTTGGCCCCTTGAGTGTGGCTCTTCCTAAGCCTTAGGAGTACCCTAATTAAGTGAATAACAATGTACCTACCTATATACTTTAAGTTTAAAAAATTTGGCTCTCAAAAGAAACTTCAATCGTTGTACTGTTGGTATTTGGCTCTGTTGACTAATGAGTGTGCCGACCACTTCGGCTAAGCCAACGCCGGCCGGGGTAGTGACCATCCTTTTAGAACTTACGGCCAACTGGGAGAGACAAGAGGCAATGTCCACCCCACATACATAAGCTGAGTTCTGCTGAGCTTAGAAGACGAAGGCGCCGAGCAGGTGGAGATGCTGAAAGGAGGGGGAGATGGCGTATTTCTGAGAGGCCAGGTCCTAATGCCACCTTGGCAGAAGCCCGGGGGATGGTCCCATTCTCCTCCGAACCCGGGAGCCCTCCGTCCAGGAGGGAATCAGATGCATGACGAACTACCCTCCCCACCCCTCCACGGCCTCTCCCTTCTCCCAACCAGACGGGACCCAGCCACACCGGCCGGGCCTTCAGGGTCCCAGTTAGAGCAGGAAGCCCAGAGCACAGGGCCGGGCAGCCAGGCAGGGCCAGGGCGACGGGGGAGGTCCCCCCGCTGGCTGGCGGGCATCCCCGCCCGGAGCCCGGAACGCAGGCCTCCAGACTCTGAATCCAAGGCCATTTCTGCAAAGTGATCAGGCATTTGCTTCCTGTGGTTCGGTCGCCTAACTGGGGGGTGGTTTTTCCTCTTCTGACACTGAGCAGACAAACCACAGTGATGAGAGAGCATCAACCATACGCCGCCTTCCACCCAAGGGGAGGGGCCGTTCAGGTCCAGGGGCCTCCCTCTCTTTCTGCCTCCCTCCTCCCTCTTCCTTTCCCCCTCTCTCCCCCAGCCCCGCCCCTTTCAGGAGGGCAGGCTGGCGCTGGGAAAGTGCCCCCGGCAGGCAGGGCATCGGTAGCCAGCACCGCCTGCTGCCAATTCACAGCTGCCGAGCCCACGAGGCCTTCACACTGGCTCTTGGCAGGCGGCCGCGGCTCTCGGGATAATGGCGCTTTGTTAGCACAGAGGAGCCAGCGTGTGAACTGGGCTGGCACGGTGACCCCGGCAGCCCTGGCAGCCAGGCCACGAGCTCTGGTGCCTTGGAGCTCGGCACCAGACCCAGGTGCTTAGACCAAACCCCCGGCACCTTCCGGGGGGGGGCCCACGGGCCCACGGGCATCTGTTCAGGCCCAGGTCCAGGTGGGCAATTGAAGGTAAATCGACTGAATACAGGGGTCCCACTAAACGTCCGCGTGGCCCGGCCGGCGTGGCTCAGTGGTGAGCGTCGACCTAGGAACCAGGAGGTCACCGTTGGATTCCCAGTCAGGGCACATGCCCAGGTGGCAGGCTCGATTCCCAGTGTGGGGCGTGCAGGAGGCAGTTGATCCATGATTCTCTCTCATCATTGATGTTTCTCTCCCTCTTCCTCTCCCTTCCTCTGAAATCAATTAAAAATACATATATATTTTTTTTAAAAAATATATTTTATTGATTATTTACAGAGAGGAAGGGAGAGGAATAGAGAGCCAGAAACATTGATGAGAGAGAAACATTGATCAGCTGCCTCCTGCACACCCCCTACTGGGGATGTGCCCACAACCAAGGTACATGCCCTTGACCAGAATCGAACCTGGGACCTTTGAGTCCGCAGGCCAACGCTCTGAGCCAAACCGGTCAGGGCAAAAAATATATATATATTTTTAAAAGCCCACATGGTTGTTTAACGTTTGACTATCACCCCTGCCGTCAGGGAGGGAGCGTAAGCTGCCTCGATATAGACATATTTCCACCCAGCCCAGCCGATGTCTCTATTACTAAAACATGGAAAATTAATAGACAGATGAGCCCACTTAGACCTGCGCAAGCTCAGCTCAAATTGCGTTTTGTTGAATGGATGGCAGGCGCCCTCCGTCAGCACTCAGGCCCCGAGAAAGAGGAGTGAGGACAACCGCTAACCTTGAGCCCCAGGAGCGAACACACACACACACACACACACACACACACACACACACACGGATCATCATTTTGATGAATTTAACAAAAACTAGTCGCCAAGGTGGACACAGACTAATTGCGTGTTATTTCCCTACTTATTTCTCTCTCTCAAATCTCTACCTCTGTCTCTCGTCTCACAGATCATGTACTTTTTTTTTTTTTTCGGTTAACCCTCACCCAGGGATGTTTTTTCCGTTGGTTTTTAGAGAGAGTGGCGAGAAGGATGGGAGGGAGGGGGGGGGAGAGGGGAGAGAAACATCGCTGTGAGAGAGACATATCCATCGTTTGCCTCCTGCAACTGAGGAATGTGCCCTTGACAGGACTTGAACCCGGGACCCTTCAGTGTGCGGGCCGATGCTCTATCCACTGAGCCAAACCGGCCAGGGCCTGAGCCTATATCTTGTCACTGGTTTCTCATGATTCCCAGTTGGGCGGGATTTCCTGCTCAGGGTCAGGGGAGATGGAGCCCGGCTCCTCCCCACCGAGGCGACGAGGAAGGTCATGGGGTCTGGCCTGCGTCTGGACCCCTGGGGAGAAGAGCTTTGCACACAAGGACTGTCTGGACTGGACAAGGCCATCGCAGTCGCCAGCTCTCGGAGGCGGCGGCAGGGCGTCTC